TAATATTTTGAAGCTTAGCAACCAATATGCAACATGATATCACAAAAATATTTTGAAGCTTAGCAACCAATGTATCACATGTCATCAAGATATTTTGAAGCTTAGCAACCAGTGTATCACATAATATCGTCAAGATAATTTGAAGCTTAGCAACTAATATATCACATATCACCAAGATATTTAGAAACATAGCAACCAATATGATATCGCATGATATCACCAAGATTATTTTTTTCATAAGAAGGCTGCCTCATGAGATATTTTCTGCTTCAAAACTTGGACTACTGCATCCTGGGATATTCTCTACTCAGAATTGGACTATTGCATCATGGGATATTCTCTGCTTTTACATCATGGAATACTGTCTCAAACAGTTAAGATATCGGTCACTGACAACTTAAACTATCGACATTTTGAACATACTTATGCATTAGGCATTCTCTAATTTGAACACTGGTGGCGCTGTCACTACATTGAACATTAAGATTACTCCATCATACCCAAATGATAATGTGATAAATTATATAAGATAAAGATACAGACTCAAACATTGAGTAAAATCAACCATATCATGATCAGATCTATTTTCAGATATTAGCCACAAAATTTGTATTGAAGAGGACGGAGGGTGAGAGGTTGTAGTCATGAATTTCACAAACTTTTTATTGGGATTTACATAAAAGAGTCCCCACTGTAATGTATAAAATAAGTTAAAACATTGTTTTGTTGATAATCATGAACCTGGCCTTAGTTTATATTGGTTTCAGATCTAAATATGCAGTTGTACTTAGCTTATACAATGGCAATACTTGTATCATCCAGTATTTAGCAATCTTCCATGATCCTTTGCACACATCAAACTGACTTGTTGATGTAAAAAACAGCTACTTCAAATTTATTGACTCATAAGTGAACAAGCATTTTTTAATTTATGTATATATTCTGATTGGCATTGACAGTTTTAAAAAAGTGTTTGTGAATTCTGATTGCAGACAAGCAATCAAAGTTTTTTCCAATTATAAAAACATCTGTGAGACAAGTAAATGCAATTATGCAGAGGTCACACTTGTTCATGCATATAAATTCTAGGTTCCATTAACTGCATCTCCTATTGAGATATTGGGTTTGAAGCTTTGTTCTTGTAAGCATGAATGCAAATAGTTCTACTAAGCGGCCATTTTGTGTTACTCAAAGTTCTACTGCTCTTTACAAACAGCCATGTACAGTATTTATGTCTGTCTGTCTGAATCACAAATATTATTATGTTAAAAGTTGGCAAGATGCTGCAACACCTACATCTACATCTCTTGGTTTTATATCCTGGATTATTGTTGTTATTGATATTTACAAAATGTATTTATTAATGCCTTTGGTATGATCCAGCATCATCTTAAAAATGCCTTATTTCATTACATTGTATTTTTTTGTACAGTAGTGTCTTTGAAGTGACTCATGAACCAACATAACAATGTTTGGAAATGTGAATATGTTTTTCATAGAATATATATATCAAATCAAATATTGTATTGACTCAATAAGACGTGCCCCTGCCATGGATTTCCTTGTATTGTTTCAGTTCTATCAGAAGTGCACAATTTCCAGGAAATAATTAGAATTCTACATTTTACTTAAAATTACAAATTTGCCACATTTGAAAATTTCATGAAATTGCACTAATGAAAGTATTCCTTAATAATCAAAACAGAGTGTAACTAGAAGGCACTTTGAGAGCACAAACTTCTACCATAGCTGTGAAGTACTTACAATGACCCTATCTTGTATTGAAGAATCCATCCAACTTTCCTGTTTACATGGCAACCATCTCCAGATGTCTCCCTGGATATATATTTTTTTCTCAACTCATTCCAAATCTTGCAAATTTACCCACAAGTTTGTGGGTCATTGGACAATGGTGGAAAAATACTTCCAAAAATTCATGTCCCCATATCTACCAAATCAAGATATCTTCCAAAATCTAATTGGTGTAGGACAAACTCTTCTAAAAAATATTACTTTTTGAGTTATCCTGCTGATGGACAGACTAAAGAACCGCCCAACCAATCACATCAATTGCGAATTTGACGTCACTAGTACTATAGTATTATCGAATCACCAGTCAATCCCAGTACAAAAGAGCAGCTCAATAGCGAATCACTACTTCATTTGTATTTGCATTTGTAAATGTTTACAAAACAATACATGGGTAACCTGAAACAACTATACACTTGCCTCGAAACTTAGACCCTCCAGTAGAGGGTCTATGCTCGAAGTCAACAAAGCCTTGTACATTATGTAAATTTGTATAAAATGACGTCACATCGCGCGGCTGTTCTGTGCTGATCACTTCGGGAATGGAGGTGGACTGAAAGATACTTCCCGAAGAATAATACACAAATAAACACCAATGCATGTTGGTTCCATTACTGTACAGGCTAGTTTTATTCTACATAATGTAAAGGGCGGCAGTCGTCGTGCCTCGTTCTGTTCGATATGGGACTCATAGCGACGCGACGTCTACAACGCGTGTAAAATACATTATTTATTTACGTGAAATTCGAACACGCGCTGCGCGACGACCACCGCGCTTAACCGTACTACTTGCTGTTCTTAAAAAAACACTGCCCAGTAATATATGACAATAGGCAACGAATGGAAACTCAACTAGAGGACATATGATACAAATAATAAAAGTAAACTGGTGAGTAGATGAAAACGTGGTGACGTCACATCCGATTATGTAAATTTAGTTGGTCACAAAAATTTTCTAGTACTACCTGGCAATCTTCACACGCCACTGTTGTGCGAATTTTAAAACTGTAATAGCAAATTAATTAGAAAAACTGAATATTCCATCACCATCTGGCCTCGATATGCCTGTACCATATTCTAATGTTCGTTTCACATACTTTGAGGCATAAACATGAGATATCTTCTTTTTTATTGAGTCTTAAAGTTCGATTATTCTGCGACCAATTCGTAATACCCGATCTCCATAAATGCGATAAGCTCGTAGATTCACTAAAGAACTTAGGCAAGTGATATTTGTTCTATTTACATTTTAGTCTTAGCGTAACAAAAGCATTCCCTTCATCTGTATAAATATTTATAGATTTCATCATTCGAACAGTAACGAGAAGTTTATTATTGGCCGATTGAATAACAACAATGACGTCGTTTCGCACTGTGCTCGTTGATTGGATGGTTGGATTCAAATACTATTGGAATTTATAAATATTTATAAAGATGAAGGGAATATCTTTGTTGCGCTGAGATTAAAAATGGCTGCTTGAATTCAAATCATTTCAATCACGTTAATTAGCCGCAGCGTGGTTGAAGATTGTTACGCTCTAGGCAGTAAATATCCTGAACATGTGCACGCACACTACTAATCATTACCCAAGTGTGTACTCTAAAAGTAGTTGCCATGGTTTCACTGCAGATTTCTTGCGAAAATGAATGTGAATAAATGCGATGACATAGGTATAACTTTGGCTCAACCTCAATACCTGCAGTAAACTTAAATCAGTAACGAAACCATAATTGAAACTCGTAACTCGAGAATAAAATATTCCATAAACAGAATGGACGTTACCAGCCACTTTAAGCAATCATTTCTCACTTGGGTAAAGTCTCCAACCTCATATCCACTCGTAATAAACCTAATCAACACACATTTAAGTATTCAACGGAACTTAAATCAGCAAACGGTGATTCACTTCACCGGTGACGTCATTCTAGCCTATTTGAAACACTATTATCAATATAGTAGAGATAGTTCCGATAATATACACCACCATAAACAGTCTGTCGATCACAACTGCCAATCTCTTCCATTCGTTTGTCGCGTTTTCTCGACGGTTCCTATTTTCAAAATGAATGGCGATTTTTCGAAACTCGTGAAGCAAATGAAATAGAAGGTGGTCATCCGGTCCACTTGTGACACCTTTTTCTCGTTTACTGTTCCGTCTGTCCTGCAGTTGGCTATGTGAGTTTGTATGTTTATTTCTAAGTGCGTGGGCGTGCAGTGCACATGCCTTAAGTATTGCACAGTCTATTTCCTTCAACATCCGGGGTATCACACATACTCCAGCTTCGGTGGTAATCCGTGAGAGAGGAGGGCACTTCGTTGAATATTTGCTTCTAACACGTAGAATCTTTTCAAGATGGCCGAACACTAATTTGCGTACTTTATCTGGTACTGGCGCCCTCTCTGACCCACAGTAATGGAGGTTGAGAACTGTGACGGACATGCCAAGAGATAACGTGACCATCACCATGGTAGCAGCATAGTACTGTCCTGCAAATTGAGAATACTGTGTTAATGTACAATTCTCCTCCAAGTCTCTGAACAATGTCACGTGGACTCCATAGTTTCGATCTGCTAACAACTTGCCTCCAGACTATGAATTGTTGATACAAAATTAGCACATCGGGCTGATATGCAAACTGTTAGAACATCTTCTTACATATTTCCAGAAACTGTGGCAAAGCCAATGTGAGAAGGGTTTGTACATGTCTGCCCGCGCTCGCACGTGCGCGTGAAAGCGTTATCAGCGTCAGTGTGTGAATAAGAGTAAGGGCGCCCTCTTACCTATTAAGGGTATAGTACTGCATGGCGGTGTCGTCTCTGCTACCAACAACAAAAACACCGTCAGCGATAACAAGACGGTGATACCCAGAGTGATTTTCTCACCGGATTCAGCTGGTATTAAAAAGCTAAGAATAGTAACCAATGAAAACAGTCCACATGGCGTTATCAAATTGAACACGTAATAGATGGGTCTTCGTCGTAGGTACACTGTATATGTGATGTCGGTGTAGGGAATTCCTGGGGCGTCTGGGTAAAATTCCGTGTTTGCTTTCGCCGATAAATGCTCCATTTCCCATTCTCCATCACTTTCGAACACTGATGTGTTACCTGCTAAAAGAAGAAGGCAGACAAAATAGATCAAACGCATGCTTCCAACTGTGACACTGAATGATGATGGCGCTCTGTTAAGTGAGATGGTTAAAGCGGGGGAGTCGCCAACTGCGCATGCGTCAGATGGCCATAGAGTGTCATTGTTTACAAACAAGCGTCTACCCATGAGCCTTTGCTTTTTTAGTGTGTGTTGTTATTGGGACTCAATTCCCGATTGCGCAGGTGACGACCCTCCCGCTTTAAGTAAGATCGCAATGACCATATTAACCAGGAGACAATATTCTGTATCGTTATCCTGGGCGTTATAAGTTTTGACCCCAAAAGGAAATCCCAAAAAAATGAAGGAAACGGAATCTTTCATCTCGGCCACTGGCTTTTTATATGTAATACAGTAACACGATTCAATTTTCAATCTCTCTTTACTGTGAACGAATAAAACAACCCTACTAGCAGTACTGATAGCGTAATTTTGTTGCCTTACCCCAACACACTGTTTAAGCTGTTGATTTGAACCATCGACATGGCTGTTCTGTCAGCAAGACAGTGAGCTATATTACAATGCAGCTGATTGGGTCGTTTTTTCATTCACAGTACGGTTACTAGGAGCGATGACGTCATAGTGGTCGGACACGCATCGAAGAGAAGTCATTGGGTAATTAGCATATCTAACAATAGAGTTTCCTAACCGTTCTTCTTGTACCCGTGTTCACAGTAAGTTCATGACGTATGCATGACGTATGTAAGTGAGATTTCTGACAACAACTGAAGTCAGCAATTGGATGAATATATCACGAGATGGACATGCGTACATATTTATTCCAGGAGATTTCGTTTTCTCAGATACTCCAATACCGGGCATTTGAGTAACAACTGGTACTCATCACTGGCATTGTTACATAAACATGTATTACATAATCTTATCTACCCATCGCCTCCTTCATGTCTATCGGTTTATATCCCAGAGAATAATAAGAGACTGTTAGACCTTGCAAGTGCATCTTGTGCTTTAAGGTGGGAGGGTCGTCACCTGCGCACGCGCGGGAATTGAGTTCCAAGCGACGATAATAACAGACGCTAAAAACGCAAAAGCTCATGGGTAGACGTTTGTTTGTAAACAATCACACGCTATGGCCATCTGACGCATGCGCAGACGACGATTCCCCCGCTTTAAATGAAATATATGGTTCCACCTTAAGCAATAAGTATAATTTTTTTCATTTATATATATAATTCAGCTCGTCATTCCTGTTATTTCAAGTCACTAATTTATAAACACGTCACAGGTTTAACCACACGTAAACAAATTCACGCTTTTTTTTTAAAATTTCAGTTGCCCATGAATATATCCCTCGTCCATCCATATTATATTACACCGTTTCACGTGGTACCAATACAACGGCAATCGCCCAGAATCGAGTAGTTAACAACACTACTTGGTAAATAAAAGTGGCTTTGACAATATGCAAGGTACACTGCTTCGAGTTTGTCATATTTTTTTGAAAGCCCCGGACTTCTGTACTCTAACAGATCACTTGTAAAATCAGACTATTAAATATTTTAAAATACAGGTATGTGGCAAGAATTTCAAATTTGCCACAGACTTTCTTGTAGGGCCGGAAACCGTACATGACATTACAAAAAAACTCGTATCCACCGTTGGTTTGTTTCTCCTTTATACCAGCACCCACATTTACTTAGGTGTCGTCTATTTCTACAGAATAAGACTTTTGTTTTGTTCATATTTAATTATCACAGTTCCCTACATGCATTGCTGGTAATTCAAAGTAGCCTTGCCGGATGTCGGCTCCGATAACAGAATTTAAAGCATATATAAAACGGTAACACCTTAAATGATTTAGTCAATCATTTAACTCTGACATAGCTGTATTTGTATATTACGTCATATTCTTAGCATGTCGAGTCAAACCCGAAGTCTTGTATCAGAAGACGATAAACTTTAGAGTTATGTACGCATGCGCGCACACTTTTGCAACGCAAAAAACATGTTTGTCTGCTCGGTTAATCGTATTTTCTTTATTCATTTGTTCCCTAGAGAATTGGTACGAGATAGGAGCAAGGAAATTAAAGTAATAAAGGTTTTCAAGAAAACATATAACCACATTTACATTTTATATTTAGGCGATCCGCATGAAGACTGGGAAGTGCTATGTGTATTAGTCCTTAACGCTGATCGTACGTGCGTCATGTATAGACCAAGGCTTAGGTTTACTGTCTGAGAAATAATACGGGCAATTAAAGTCCGCTGTGTACTGAATGTATTACGGACATTGATGTCAAGTCGAGTGACACTTGGAGGTGTAACATCATTTCATGTAAAAAGGTCACACTATCTGGAGTCTTAATTCAATTTGTTACCTGTCGGATTGGCTGTCGTACTTCCAAAGTCATATGTTGATCACGTGACTCTTGGACATTGTCTTGAAGCCTAAACCGACGTCTTATGATATTTGTATGTGATCTGGCATAACGAGTGAAGGAATGCATCCTTGCGATCTAAAGACAAATAACTTTACACCAAAAAAACGTGTACAAGTGTTTTAATAACTTTTGATTTGTGTTCGTCTCGTTATTTGTGGATTATAAAACACATCACACTTTCGCTGAGTAAACTAGTAAGTAATTTTTAGTCTGGTTCAAAAATAAATTTACTAAAAGTGTAGAAATTAGGATATGCTTTAAGATATTCGATACCAACCCCTTTCCCCGGTGAAGCAAACATTAAAACCGTGCACACATTTTTTTGGAATATTTGTTCGGACAGGCCTATCATACAGATAGTCTGTCTATGAAAAGGGAGTCAAGGAGACCATGCATTCGGTCTCCTAGGTTACCAAGGTTGGTCACTTACTGTTAGCGTAAATTCTACTGGTAAATTTAAATATGTAATTCCTAGTAACTTGAAACTCAGTGTAAATTGGACAAGAATGGAAAGAACCAAAGCTAACAAATTGTGTTATTAATGTATGGATTTGAAGATTAATTTTGTAGTTCAAATCAGGGAGTTGGCAATGAAAATAAATTTTGTTTCATAATGTAAATATTCACACATGGCACATTGAAGCTGGCAATTATGAAAGGCCTAGTACGTACAAACTATTTAACACTACACTCCGGATTGAAACACTATTTAGAATATAAATGAAAGCAATATTAAGAAGAAACGCTTGCGTATCTGTTTTGGGTTTCGTGTATTGTTAACTTTGTTGAAACTTTATCATATCAGTAAAGAATGCTGAAATACAATAGCATTTTCAAGCCATATTTATTGGACTGGAACGTAAGTGTAATCCACACTATGAATGAATGAACAAACCCCCAAATGGATTCACAAGTGTTAAGGGCACCCATCTCCTCCCGCAAGTCATGTATTAACAATTAAACTAGGTATACATTACAATATACTAAAAATGCAATATATCTGAATAGAAGACGAAATATATCGCATTTCATATTTATCCAACCAAACGTAATTTTGCACTTAATGGCCTGTAGTATATTGTAAAAACAAACAAACAGACAGACATGCAGATATACAAACGTTGAATGTTAACTGGTGTGATATCTTACCTCCACCACTCATATTGACCTCTGACCCCTCATACTGCCAAGGACCAAATTTCATACGACATTGTTGTTTGTCAAAAGGAAAATACGTAACGTCAATCTGACATTTACTGGTGAGTATGAGTGGTGCTGCCCACATGACGTCACCACTTGGATAGACAACAGTTAGCTGACCACCCATAATGCCTCGATAATCTTCGTATGCACTAGAATAGAATTAGGAATAGAATAGAATAGAATAGAATAGAATAGAATAGAATAGAATAGAATAGAATAGAATAGAATAGAATAGAATAGAATAGAATAGAATAGAATAGAATACGATACGATAAGTTGGAATACGATTTGTTGCTGTGTTTTGTGGGGCAGTGCGTCGCAGTGCGGTGTGTCAGTATAGTGATGAGTTTCGCGGAGAGTTGTGTCGCGGTCCCGGGGCGTGGAGGGTGGTTCTCTAAATAAAATATGGCACGCAAGCTGAAGTAAAAAGCGCGTAAAAGGGGTGTTATCTAGTTATTTGACGCGTAGATATAAATAAAGTTTGAAAATAGGAGGTATAATATGATGCAATGTGTGCGGTGCGATGTGATTAATGCAACGCGATTAGGTGCGATGCGATGGATTGCGATGCAATATTTAGTTCAGCGTAGTTTGAAGTAACGTATCCTCCATACATATTGTTGAAATACTATAACATGCCTTACTTGTCGTAGAGAGCTAAGTCTGGTAGCCATATTAAGTCAGATGGGATTTTTATATCCTTAATTCCAGGGTATTCCTCTGGATTCCACTCAAGATATTCGTCTTTCCATCTCTAAATTAGCGAATGAAAGAAAAAAATACGATTACAGAATCGCGCCACCATAAGTTGCATCTATGAGAGGAACTAAATGGAATTGACATCACTCAATGCACCGCATCAAAACGAGGTGCTGGATTGTTCGAGTTACGGACATCGAGTAACAAACATCGAGTTACGAAAACATTGAATTCCAAAACGAGCACGCCCATATTTTAGAAACCACGCCTAAATTATAACTCGATGTTCAATTAACAGTTAACCAAACTTCGAGTTATGGGAAACGTAAATTGGAGTGGTTTCTAAAATATAAGCAATTCAGCATCTCCGTCAAAACCATAAAAAACATTTCAGTTTTTATAACGCATCGTCGACATACGTGGCAGTAATTTACTTTCAAAGAATATTCAATGTTTTGTTAGTGTTCGTAGTATTTAATGTTGGAAACCTTTTTTTACGTCAAACTATTAAAATAGTTTTTAACATGTTAGATAGCACAACATAAACACATTGTTTTAGACAACATCATTTTGCCACTTAAATATGTTACTAAAGTTTGTAGGAAAACACTAGATCGACATTTTCAAGTGAGGCGATCACTGTTGCTATTTTGATGGGTCGCTGTATCGTTTCATTTTCTACATAAATAAATATCGATTGACTTCGATTCGGCCCTAGTATGCAACGGACAAAATGTGACTGTCATGTCAGCTATACTGTCGCTATTTTTGGCAGAAATATTCGCCGAACTGTCCTGCCCATGGGAATGCCCGCTCCCTCATGCAATGCTTTGTCGGCCGTTCGAAGCATTAAGGCTATTCCATTATTCATTTGTAGCAACATACGACTAAGAAGACTGGCAGAGAAATAGATGGATGGAGCAGAGATTTACAGTCACACATATGGCGACCTCCAGGAAGTAGACTTGGGGTTTCGTAAATGTATATACACGTGTTTGCCATAGCTAGTGTTGATAAGTTTGATCTTCAAAATTAAGTCATACCTACATGGACGGAATTACTGTAATTACATACAGAATAACATTTAAGAGCAAGACTAGATCTAAATATGTGACAGATAAAATCGGTTTTCACTGATAAACTAAGAAATTATTTATCGAATGTTAGCGTCAGTCGCTCAGTCTACCAACCGTTACCATAATAGACTACTTTCCCGGAAGTAGCGAGATTGGGGTGCAAAAATACTTCTGGTTTGTCATGGCTGAAAAATCAAACACGTCAGTTTTCTGATAAAAGTAGATAGAAGGGAATTTTTTTGTGACGTTGATTTGTACACCCAGAAGCACAATATCACGCGTGCAAGTTTATGTTACACCCCAAAACGGAATGCGCGCGCATGCGAAACGCCGTATATTCGACTTCCGGGAAAATTGTAGTTGTATATATTTTTGTCGTCGATGTGCCGCTATACTGCCCTCTCTTTCTTAGTACTACCCAGGCCAAAAAAACAAATTGCACATGGGACCGTTAATATTCAGCCACACATGGTACTATGCATAACATATATTGAATGATCGACCCAATATGAATACAAAATGAAGGCACCATAATTCCCAGTCTGTAAACCATACACGCAGTATTAAGCAGCAGCTGTATATTATTAGATCGTATGCGATGATAAATAGAAACGATGACTTGCCATCAGTGTGGGCCAAGGTAATCAGTTACTCGCCCTAAGGCGGAATTCCAGTCTCTGTACACATATAATTATCGTCCTTTGAGATACATGAATACAACACGATTCAGTTGAGAACACTATTTGAGTTTAACTCGAAATATCACTCGCCTTAAATTACAACGTTTATTCAAGTGAATCATATTTTCAGAGAAAATAAATGGAAAATTCCTAAATGGGATAGACAAATATCGTCCGTCATAACCAATGATGATAATGAACTCAAACATCCGAGCTGAATGACAATTCTAAACTTTCTGTTCGTATTACAAAGGCCCATATCACAGGGGTCCTTATCACAGGAAGCCCATATCACAGAAGGTCCATATCACAGGGGTCCATATTACAAGGGCCCACCTCACCTGTTTTTATTACATGGGGCTATTAGAGGGGGTCAATATTACATGGAATTATTATACATCTGTCACCGTAACGCCATAAGTTACAGCGTGCCGTAATTTTCGTCCTACCATATAAGGAAATGCGAGTTGGAAATATAGAATGATTACGCGCGTAAGCGTCCTCAAACAAACATTACTGCCACCAGGGTTTGACCGGACTCGACACAAAGAAGTTCGCTGATTCTGTTAGAAATTATTTGGATTTCGGCATTCCCATGATGTATCCTTGGAGGGAAAAGATGTATAATAATAAGGTTATTACGAGGATACCTCAAAGTATGCACTCAGACAGTACACTGTCGCATCGACGTAACATACGTATCTTCGTGCATACTTCGAGGTATCTTCGTAATAACCTCATATACATATAGCATAGTGTCCATATAACAATGGTGCATACTGCACGGGTCCATATTACATTGAACATTTATGTTTAAATTTCTTTTTAAAACTCATATTAGTATGTATGTAAGTATGATTATTATAAATAACATTTCTGCAATTTTCATATTGTGGAATATAAAAAAAAATACGAATAGAGTTTACAAAAAGTCGTATATCATGTGGTAATTAGTCCCCATGGAAATATGAAACAAAATATTTCCACACGATGAATTTTAGTGACAAATATGTAATTTGTTTTATACACAGCGTATGTTGACAACTAATTATTCTTTTCTCAAAACAAGTCCAAGTCTGACGTCAATGAATATTTGTGATGTACACGGTTTGCCTGCTAGAACGCATTCGTAGGTCATCAGAAGTACCGAAATAACGAAACACTACTGTCACGCTGTCAGGTAGCAATGAGGTGATCCATTTATTGTGACCGTGTTTCTCTGATAGTAATTTAATCCCATATGGACCAAGAATGCTACTTTATTGCGAAAGGCCTGTCACAATGTGTGATATCTCGTGCCGTTGGATTACTTATCATTTAGTTGAAATATTGCGACTGGCTGAAGCCGCCGCGCTTATTTACGTTTGAAATAACAGCGATACAAAATATCCTATTAAAGCCGAAGGGTCACCACCTGCGCACGCACGGGAATTGAGTCCCAAGCGACGATAACAACGCATGCTAAAAACGCAAAAGCTCATGGGTAGACGCTTGTTTGTAAACAATGACACGCTATGGCCATCTGACGCATGCGTAGGTGACGACTCCCCCCCCACTTAAATATACATGTATATATCTGATAATAAAACAACTCACGAGCAAAGTTGTCAAAGCAGATAGCAAGTCGGTGCTCTTGATCAGTGAAGAACATTTGTTATCACGTGCACACATTCGCTACCCGGGTAACAAATATGTAAACAAATGATGTCACAGTGTGACGTTCTATATGCGCGTCAATGCTTCTTTCCTGTCACCATAGTTACTACTGGTAACATCTGAATGGATCGGAAATACTACTCGACATAGTCACCAATGGTGCTTACAGTGGGTATTAAGTAATAATATTATGATTGTTTCCCCGATATTTACAATAGTGCAACAATGTTTGCATTTTCATTTTGAAAACTGTTGCCACACGTAGGCAAGGCATGTTCGGTCTGAAACACTCAATTTTTATTCTAAACTAAAGCTGTATGAGTTCACACGTTTAGTGATCTAAGACTACTTCACGAACTTTGTCATACGTTTACTCTAGTTGTGTTATAACACTAGTTTGTAATACAGACAGAAACATTTGTTCAACATTATAAACTTCGCACAGTGTGTATCAGAGAAACTATCATAATATTATTATTTCACACTCATTCTACCGTGTACCCACCATTGATGACTATGCCGAGTGGTCTTTTCGCTCCGCTCATGTGTTACCGGTAGTAGTTGAGTATATAAATACGCATGTGTATATCCATGGTATGCTATTTGTATCTTGTTTATTGATATGAAGTACGGGGTAGACTTATTTGGATGTACACAATTTAAACCAGTGTAATAATGTGTTTTTTCCAGACATTATTGGTGTCACCAGACATTTACATAACTGTAAAAATCAAAATTTAAGATAATTAAACAGCAATCCTATATCAAGGGAATTTATTTATTTAATCTTCGTGATATATTTATTTTGTATTTTTGAGAAGAAATTAAACTGTTCAATATTGAACAGGTCGGGTTTACATGGGCTGATCATTACGAGTTTACAAGGGCTTATTATTACGGGTTTACAAGGGCTTACTATTACGGGTTTACAAGGGCTTATCATTACGTGTTTACAAGGGCTTACTATTACGGGTTTACAAGGGCTTATCATTATGGGTTGCATGGACTGATCATTACGTGTTTACAAGGGCTTATCATTACTGGTTGCAAGGGCTTACTATTACGGGTTTACAAGGGCTTATCATTACGGGTTTGCAAGGGCTTACTATTACGGGTTTACAAGGGCTTATCATTACGGGTTTGCAAGGGCTGATCATTACGGGTTTACAACAAGGGCTTATCATTACGGGTTGCATGGGCTAATCATTACGGGTTTACAAGGGCTTATAATTACGACTTGCATGGGTTGATCATTACGTGTTTACAAGGGTTTATTATTACGGGTTTACAAGAGTTTATCATTACGGGTTGCATGGGCTGATCATTACGGGTTGCATGGGCTGACCATTACGTGTTTACAAGGGCTTATCATCACGGGTTGCATGGACTGATCATA